TAATACATTTAATCGTTATTCAAAAAGAATGAATGGGGCAAATGATAGATTGTGTGTGTTGTAGTGTGTTTTTGGGACACCCTGTATAAATTCTGCAGTCTTATACTAACATCCATGGAATATCTCAGCGAGTAATTAAGAAGCGTTTGATTTGCAGCTGTTCGACAAATTGCGAGCAGAGAACCCATCCTGTTTCGAAAAGCTGATTCCGATTTTGGGCGACGTGACCGCAGAGGGTCTCGGTTTGCCGCCAGTTGAAAGACGGGTACTAATTGAGCGAGTTTCGATCATCTTTCATGTAGCCGCCAACGTCCGGTTCAACGAGAATTTAAAGAAAGACATATTATCGAATACTCGATCGACCAGGGACATTTGCATTCTAGCTGGGAGTATGAAAAACTTGGTGGCAAGTAGACTTAATCGTTTAAAAACCATTGGCTTATTAATTTAATACATATTTAATAGATAAGTTCTAAATCTAGGCACTGATGCACGTTAGTACCGCGTTCTGTCAGTCGGACAAGCCTGTGATAGAAGAGATCCTGTATCCTCCGCCGTGCGATTGGAGGAACACTATAAAAATGGTTGAAACCCTCGACGAAAAAACGTTACAAATTTTCGCCTCCAAGTAACTTTTATTTTTGATATTCCTTTCTCTTTCCCCTATGACTGTCTCTTATTTATTGCTCTTGCTACAGATACGAGGGATCGCTGCCAAACACATACACGTTTAGCAAGCGATTGGCAGAGCAGGTGATAAACGATTATTCGAAGGATCTGCCCTGCGTTATCTTCCGGCCATCGATAGGTATGATATAAAGTCTATCCCCTATCAACGTTTGCCTACTTTCTCATTCTCGACAGAGGCTGTTCTTCGTGTGTTTCCTATATTTTTACTGAAATGAATTACGTTCGCGGAGTCTTGGGTAAACGATAGATATTGCCCGGAAGACTGCATGTCGTGAAAGAAGGGAAAGACATTCGTTTAAATTTACTAGCAACTTTATACGTATGTCGAGTACGCAGGGTGTCCTAGAAAAAGTGTTAGAATCGAAAAGAAGTACACCAATACCTCGCTTTGCGTCGTTTCGTTTTGCGTTTTTTCGAAGTTGCGTCGCTGCTTAATTAGTACTAATTTTCACTGTGCGTCGTTAGATTTTCGAGATTGCGTTGTTTTGGGTTCGAGTCTTTAATTTTTTTTTTGAAATTTTCTTTTTTTTCTAAAAGATGGCAACACTTTTGTTTCTAATTGCGCCATGCCATCAAAACACGGGGATTCCCTTTCTAACTAAAAATCAACGCAATTTTAATACAGTTTTATTTTCACTTTGTTTTGCTAATTTTAGAGTTCAGTTTCAATTACGTAGTGTGTTGTAATGTATGTACTTTGTTCAATTTTCTTTTTAAAAAGTAGTATTTTCGTAACCCTGGAACCTATCTTCGATCTTTACATGGTTTGCTATAGAAAATCTTAATTCACTTTGCGTCGTTTCAATTTGCGTCGTGTTTTTTTGGAACGTAACCACGACGCAAAGTGAGGTATTGGTGTAATTCTACAGATGTTTCTGAACAATAATTTCCTCTGGCAAAATATAAAGTAAGGAATGGTTTTCGAATTATTAACGAAAAACACAAAGACCAATGAGAGCGCGAGCGTCACGATCCGAGCCAATGGCTGAGCGCGGGCTCTAAGCGTCCTCTCATTGGTCAGCGTTCCTTGTTAATAATTCAAAAACCATATCTGAGTCTGCATTTTGCCAAAGGAAATTGTTGTTCAGAAATTCTTATAGAATCACCCCTCTTCGGCTCTAACACTTTTTCAAGGACACCCTGCTCTGTTACCAAATCGCTATTATAATCATGATATATGTATCATTTTTGATGACAGTAATATCGACGGTCGAGGAGCCAATGACAGGCTGGGTGGACAATTTCAACGGACCAGTGGGGATGATGATCGGTGGCGGAAAAGGAATATTGCGGGTAATTAGTGCGAAGCCGGATATATGCGCTGATTTCCTTCCTGTCGACGTAGCTATTAAAGTTATGCTGCTCGCCACGTGGAAGCGAGGACTGGAAACGTGTGTAACACTGACCATAATTGACCCGAATGAGCAATAACAGCCGCCTGAATAATTAATCGTATGTTAATCACTGGGAGGTCTTCTGGTATTCTAGGGTAACGAAAAACCCAACCACTTCTGTTTACAACGGTAGCTCGCACAGTATCAAGCGAATAAATATCAGAGAATTAAATGCACTGGGTTTGAGGATGAGCGAGAAAATGCCGCTCGACAATGTCATCTGGTACCCTAGGACTTCCTTCGCGACCAACGCGGTCTCTCATTACATAATGACGTTGCTCTACCACGTGCTGCCGGCCTTGTTCTTAGACGAAATATTGAAACTGTCGGGTCGTAAACCTATGTGAGTCAGTTGGTCTCTTCATTTCCCCAACGTTTCCATTTCACTTCAGCTTTACTTACCGGCGAACAGGTTGCTGTCGATCCAGAAGAAGATCTATTCGAGCGTGGTGCAACTGGACCATTTTGTGAAGAACGAATGGATTTTCTGCAACTCGAAGATGATAAACATCTTGCTGGAACAAGTGCCGCCAGCTGAGAAGGAGATATTCAGTTACAATATGGCTAAGTTGGACATACCAGACTACTTCACGTGAGTAAACGAAACGCGGATTCTAGCTCTCGATTTACACACGTACGATTTGAACGTTTTCTCGGTTGATTAGGAACTGTATAATCGGCGCGAAGACTTACCTGTTGCACGAGGATATGTCACCGAAAGGACTACAGAAAACGAGGCAGCATTACGACAGGTAAACGGATAATTTATTCGTTGGGAATACGCGTTTCGCTAACTACGGTAACTACCTTATCACTGGCCTTTCCTCGATCGCCTATAGATACCCAACAGGCATTCCGCTTGTTTGATCGATCTCTTCCCCACCTTTTCCTATCTCGTCTTCCGTGCTTCCACTATCACATTCTTTCGTAACAGACTTAGGAAACAAATTAATATCGGGATTATGAAATCGGAAATCCAGCATTCATCGAGTCACAATTGAGTTACAACAGAGTCGTTTCATTAGTCTGGAGGCGTTTAGAAAATAATCAAATATCCATTGATCTATTCATCTCTAAAACATTCCCTGTCTTTATTCCCTAGTCAACTAAAATAGAAAAATATATACATTTATAAATATATACGTAATAAAGATATACACCAATACCTCACTTTGCGTCGTGGTTACGTTCCAAAAAAACACGACGCAAATTGAAACGACGCAAAGTGAATNAATTAGTACTAATTTTGCGAGGCAACTTCGAAAAAACGCAAAACGAAACGACGCAAAGCGAGGTATTGGTGTATAAATAATATATATAAATATAAATAATATGCTCATAGAAAAATTGAATATTTTTTTAAGAATGAAATTGGTGGATACGATAGCCAGGGGTTTGCTGTTTCTGATGCTGTTGTCGGCCATGGGGTATCTTAGAGTCCACTCGATGATATTCAACAGCATCGCTTCGATCTCCGACGGATCTTTCTTGGACCTGTGACCGGAGATCCAGTCAACTAGATCTGATGAAGAAAAATCGATCTCTTATTTGTATATGACATCGTCAATTGGAGGCAGTAAAGAAATAAACTGTTTTTAATTATCTTTATTAAATGTATATTATTTTACATACTGGCATTGGCTCTCGCGGTAACCCCCCCCCCTTTTCGAACTCTTCCGAAGGATCTGCTGTCATGGCCACGCGACACTCAAGGGATTCCGGATTGACTTCTTCGTACGCAAACACGAAGAACTCGACTCGTTTAATGCTTTCCATGTGTTGTAGCTGTTTGAAAATATGTTCCTTTTATGTATGCGTGCGAAGCTGGTCTGGAATCACTTGAGTCACATACCTACCACTCCCGATACCCCTTCCTCTTTGTTTCATACGATTTCTTCCGCGTTTCGTTGTTCGCCGTCTGTTTCTTCGGTTCGTCCGTTTAGTCGCTTTCCAACAGCGCCGCAGCGCCGCAGTCTCGCAGTCCCGCGTTCGATCAATGCTGATAACATTCTACCCGGAAAGAATATAATAAACGAATTGCAATTCGAATAACAAATTTAAAGGAAACCGGCGGACGTAAATCAATTCAATCGAACGAGTTCATTCGTACTTACAATTCGCGCTTAAAACTGCGAACAGATCGATTTGTGAAACAAAAATTCTTATTTTGTGAAGTGAATAAAAGTGTCTCGTTGTTCTTCGACCTCTAGTCGACCTCTTTTTCGGCGATTGAACACAGATTTCCATGATAATGCCACTCGGCGTATAATTGTCGCCTACATCAAAACTCGTGCCAAGAGTTGCATCCATTAAAAGCGAATGGAGTCGAAGCGACGTCAACGGTAGCTGCGCATGCTTGGCCGCTATCATCACCTACACAGAGGGAATCAGTGTTATATTACAATTGCTGTTAGTAGTTGGCCAGCATTGTGCGTCTGGGTTTTCGTTGCGGTGCATCGTGTGACAGAATTCAGTGAAATACTGCGAATCGAGATCGACCCTGGACAGGTAGGTGGATATAGTGGGATTTGCGTTTATCGTGAATAATGAATAACAATTTATTCGTGCCAATCGTTTGCAGCTTTTCATAACGTGCAGATATGCACATGAGACTCGTTTGATTCTGTGTGGGTGTAATTAGTGCACAGTAGATAAAATTTTTTTTTTATTTCTGCTTAACAGACGTGCGTAACAGGAAAACGATGAAGTATATCAAAAGTTCATTAATTTACTCGATTCCAATCGTGATCTGGAATTTATAAAAGGAATGCGACTGTGAACGCTTTAAATGAATTCGTACAGCCGGCGGCTATTCCTCATCCGTAACACGCCTAGTTGTTTTAATAATTCGTGGATGAATTACTAATTTCATATTTCGAAATATCTACAGTCTACATCTTCGATATAGCAACTACTTGTCTACGTTGGGAGGCTGTAACGAATGAGGAGTGGCGACAGCCGCCTGTCTTCCACTGACCATGTACAACGTTATTTACGATTTACGATTATCAGAAAAATTTATGCGTCTTTCCTTAGCTTCGCTTACATATTGTGTGTACGCATGATTCTCGCCTAATTATCGCGACGATTCTCAGAAACGTTGGAGGATGAAATATAATTCTGAGACAGAGCGTCTCGGGTCGCAAACTTGTCAGTCTCAAGACAGAGCTTTAGGAATTATTGGGTAAGACATTAGGTCAGAGATAAGTACAATACTTAATGTTGCGTCAGATAAATGATGTACTACTTAAAATGAAATTATCTTGCCAATAGTACGTTTATACTGATACGTATGCATATTCAATACTTGTTTATTCAGAATTAGATAACGAAAATTATGTAAATACAGACAGTATTATGTAACAAGGGGAAAGAGAATGGATTATGAAAATATAAATAAATAAATTAACTATCAATCAATGCCCGGGTAAAGTCTCTCCTTATCATAGAATTCAATGGCATTGAAACAATGCGAAAAATGAATGGCACTGCAACAAAACAATAATAGTGAATGTATTGTTACAAATTCATAATAAATATTTATCAACTGCACGTGAGTCAGTAATCTATTTCTGATTCTGCTTAACCAAATCCATCTTGTTTCCAAGAATACAATTTAGATTAACCGTTACACTTGTAGGATCATTGACAATTAACTCATGAATGGTTTCTGCAATGTTCACAATGAAATTCTGTAAGGAGGTTCTATTCATATTCTTGTATACCAATTCTATATTTAGTATTCTAATTTCTATTTTTATACCGAAATTTAAATTCCTTTCCTGTGACTGTTTTGATCAGAATATCTGCATCAATTTGTAATCTTGTATTCATCACATTGTTATAGACACTAACTCCCATGACTCAAACCAAGAACCCTATATTTTATCCTGTTTCCCCTCAAAGTTGTTCTCCAACTTCACAATCCTCTCAAAATAAAATTGCAGTTTACTGTTAAATAAAGGAATACAACAAAATAAATTATTAATTTTATTATATTATAATATTATATATAT